ATATATAGAAAAGTGTGAGCTGTACCCTCTGTTAATGAAATTTTTTTTGTCCAATCACTCATCTCTTGTAGAAATCCTTCTTATGAGTCTGCTAATGCCAGTCACTATTTTGTGGCGATGCAGCAATGACTGTGTGGTCCTTGTGGCTACATTCTCAGTGTTTGTAGTCTAGCAGGGAAGCTGTTAATGCTGTTATGTATGTGATCCTTTTTTTTTTCCCACTGTTAAATTGTTAAGAACATGGTCGCTAAATATCAGTTTGTGTGTTCCTGGTGATCTGTCAGAGAGAGAAGTGTGTAAGGGACATTTTATTGATCTTGCCAAATTGCTGCCTGTTAACTTTGACTTCAGAAGTATTCCACAGATATTACACAAGTGTTTGTGAGATATTCCAGCTTACTAGTTAGATGGAATGTTGCGAGTCAGAATATTGGGAAGATCAGTTACTTTAGGGAGATAGCTTTAAGGGGGATTACCATAATTCTGCCACATTTGACAACTTTGGATATGTGCTTCAATAGCAAGACTTCATGTCTTTTGTGATTTATTTGAAAGAAAACTCTGTGGTACATGGGATCCATGAAGAGTCTATCTATATATAAGGATCAAAACATCATGCTTTGAGTTACTGTTGCGTGTTTTATAGACCTGTGGGAGCAGATGAATCAAAAGAATAATCAGTGGATTTTTACAAAAAGATTACTTTGTAGATTTGATAAAATCTTTATTGTCAATCTTTTCTTTCTAGGTAATTAGTTAAATATTACTGATGTCTAAGAAAGGAGCTATATCCCATTGACTAGCCTTGTGGCTGTTTAGAGATATTTAAGCATGGTACTGTTGTTATGCAGAAAGACAGAAGGTGTGGGCTTTGCCCACAAAGAATTTAGGATTTGTCTTGAGATACTGTATAAGCATATGGTATAGATATGTGATGATTTCCATAAAGGGCTAAAATAGGCAAGTATATCTTTGGTCATTATGGTCAGGATTATGGGAATGAAGGAGAGTGGAGGGAGAGCATCACATGGAAGGAAAGGAGCAAGCCTAAACAGCTTGTGCTCAAGCCAGGTGGTAAGGAGAAATGTCAAGGCAGTCTGGAATCAATCGGATAGTTTTGAATTAGGCTTAAGAATTCTGACATCTTCATAATCAGGAAAATAATTTTAAATCAAGCCAAATATCAGTTTGTTTTATTTAATTCTAAATTGATAATTTTGAGCTTATTCTAGTAATATATACATTTTGAAAAGTATTGAAAATGCAGTCTCTATATGTTCCTATCTTCATCAGAATCTTCCTTCAGATTTTTCTTTCCACAAGAGTGTAATAAATTTAAATCAATCAAGTAACTCTCTAACCTTTACTGTAATTTAAGCCTGGCCAATGGTGATATACTCTAAAGCAACATAAGATGTGCTAAACATTAAGTGCTTTTAATTCACTATGTCTTATACCAGAGATAGAAAATAAAGGGCCCGTATGCATAAGGAAATTCTGGCAACAACCATTATGTTCCTTTGTAACCAACAGTAAAATCTTGGATTTCTAGGGACAAGAAAATCTAGGTAGTAGTAAAAGTTCAAAAACATTGTTTTTGTGTGCCTTATTTTATGGTGCAATTCTCGAGATGTTTTCATTTTGTGATAGCAATGTACAGTATTAAAACATTTTAAAAGGTAAATTTCTCTTCTTTTTAATGATTAGCCAAAAAAGCTTCCAAATTTCGAGACTGGTTGGACTGCAGCAGCATGGAGATAAAACCCAATGTTGCAGCTATGGAAATTTTAGCATATTTAGCATATGAAACAGTGGCTCAGGTAAGAATTCTAAAGTGTCCATCAAGCTGCCCATGGCAGGTCCTCCTCATTTTTGTGCATTATCAGTTTTTCTTCCACCTCCTGCTCTAGCAGCAATAACCGCAACCGTGAGTTCTCTTCTGTGACATTCAGGTCATTTTCCAGAATTTAGTTCAGTTATATTTCTTTGCATCCTCAGCTCTGGTGGGTGTTAGAGGGGGGGGGAAGACTTTTTTGGATCTTTATCCTAACCAGAAATGGGTTGCATATATTTTCATGATGTTGAACTCTTTAAATCTTCATCTGCCATATCAAGAGATTATTTTTGAGCTTTGAAAAATGCCTTTCGGAGTTTCCTAAATGCTCACCCAAATTTGGACCCTGAAAGAATTATTCTAGGCCTGGTCTGAAGGCCACAGCATCAGCGTCTCCTTGGCGCATGTTACAGCAAGAACTCCTGACTAACATTGGAGCAGACCTGAACTGAAATCTCTGGAACTGGGGCCAGAGATCTGTGTTATAAAATGCTTCCCTGGTGATTATGAAAGGACTTTTGAGAATCATTCCCCTAGAAAGTAAAAATGTCTCCCTGGTATTCATAGATAGGCCCATTAAATAGTCGGTAGAAATCTCTGTTCATGCCTATCATACAGGTTGTTAGGCAGACAGCATTATCAACAACTCATGCTGTTTCACTTTTAAGTTTGCCGCTTCAGCCATGTGACTTTATTTCCATTGCTCTGATCTTCCAGTTAGTGGATCTGGCTCTTCTTGTGAGGCAGGACATGGTAACCAAAGCTGGAGACCCTTTCAGTCATGCCATTTCTGCAACCTTCATCCAATATCACAGCTCTCCTGAGGTATGTATCAGAAAATCTGACTTTAATACTTCTTGAATTTTTTCACATACCTGGGATTGGCCTTAGTGGGTCTTTGGAATAGATTACGTAGGCATGTATAGACTTCAGTCAAAGAATCTTAAATATTCACTATTTAAACAGGTATTTATGGGGTGCTTACACCATGACAGTTTACTTTGTAGCATTTTTCACCTTTTCTCTGCTCAACTTGGCTTTCCTAGCATTTCAGAGCAAGAGAGCTAGTTGCAGCTCATTTTCTTATGAAAGAACCATTGGTTTAGGTGATTTAATAATGTTGGGAAAAAATATTTCTTTGTACCTCAAATGATGGAGTTGGGTTGGAGATGTGCAATGGTAAAGCACCTGCCTAGCATGTGCAAGGCTGTGGTTCAGGTCCCCAGCACTGTCAGAAAGAAAAAAGTTACTATTACTCATGTAATAGTTCCTGGTGTTTTAAAAGTAACTTTCCGTTTATTAATTTTTGTATAAACAAGATTTAGAGAGGCTTGCCTCCATTCATTTTTAGCTTTTAGATTGGCCATCTGATGTAAAACTCAGGTCGTTTTCTGATCTGGTTTCTGCTCCTAGGACCACTGCCTGAAGAGTCTCTCAAATCTTTTTGTCATTTTTGTTTTCTCATAACTGTGCACCACTGTTAGTATATACAGTACTCTCTGAACCAGCATATACCTAAAAACAAGAAATGAAATAAACATGTTGAAAACATTTGCCAATATTTTACATTTTTTAAGTACAAATAACAATTTCATATTATTCTATTTAATAATGATAGAGGAGACGGCAAAAACAGCATCCATGTGTGTAATTATTAGGTGAGTTTTAGATCAAATTGAGTAAAATACGTAACCTAACAAAATTGCAAAATGCTATTTTATATCTATACTGTATCTTAATTATAAATATTTCTTCCCTCTTCATAGTAGGTGAGGATGGTGGCAGAAATAGTTTTTAATAAGTAGTTATAGACTGTTTTAGGCTATAGACTGAGAATTTGATGAAAACTGTAAACCCCTTCTCTATACACACACTCACCAATTTTACATACAGTTTCAGGTTGTAAAGACCTTATAAAGCCATCCTGTGGCCCTAAGGGATCTGTGAAATCTGAATCCCAAGTTCAGTCTCTCTGTTGTAGGGTGCTTAGACAGTCTACTAAGATACACACCTATATAGCATCTCATTACCAACAGGAGGTCATCTTGGCATCCTCTTATGTGCTAGAGGATCAGACTGGCTTCAAGTTCAAGTGGGATGAAAATGTTTTTGCTTATTAAAGATCCACTTTTTTCTTGGAAAGGTCATATATCATTATCAGTCAACATTATTTTAAAGTCCCTAAAGCTTACTTAGTTGATTAAACACTATTTGTTTTCTTTATGTTTCAAACCAAAATTATGATGTCAAAGAACACCCTTTAAAATGTCTTTGATGCATGTTCACTGTATGAATATGTGTGAGTATGCTTTCCATTAACATCAGACAAATTTGTTGTAACATTTCTAATTGAGGAAATTTACTGAAAATATAACAAGCCTAGTTTTCCCTTAACATTCAAGTGATTGCTTGTATGGCTAGGAAAACTCTTTAGTCCTCCCCTTCCTTGGTTCTCCAGGGTGGCCAAACCGCCCTGGGCAACTGCTCAGCAACCATACGGGCTGTTCCCAGCTATACAGCAGTTGAATAAAGTGTCCTGTGTGTGTCCTGGATGTCCTGGGCTTCCTTGGAGGTGAGGGAACAAGTGTCAGTGTCCCGAACGAATGTTAGTGTAAGCCTCAGCTTTTTCCTGGCCTGGTGGGCACCTTGCCTCCTCTGTGACAGGTTAGTCAGAGTGGACATTCATAAAGACTGCCTTCCTCCCTGCCCTTTATTATCTGACAAAGAGAATACCATTCTGAAGCAATAATCTTCCTCATCAGCACCGTAGTTGGCAACCAATTTCAAGGGCCTGTACATCCAGAATTACACCAAACTGAGTCCAAAGAGGACTCTGCAGACTGGTAGAAGCTATGTTCAGGAATACAGAACAAACAATAAATGAACCAGCAATTCAAGATAGCATATATAATTTCCAAATGAAACAGAAAGTACAGGGTTTAAAATCAAACACACACATAAACGCTAGTTACAAAGACTCAGAGAGAAAGCTGAGTATTAAGGAAAAAAAAGTACTTGCAGTCCCAGCACCCTAGGAGGCTGAGGCAGAAAGATGGAAGTTAAAACCCAGCCTGGGTAACTTAGTGACTCAGTGAAACGTTATCTCAAAAACAACAAAAATGACTGGCTGTCACTCAGTGTACAAATCACGATTACCAAGACAGACAAACTCAAGCTAAAGGTTTATTGAGAAGGTTTAGTAGGAAGTTTGATTAGGAAATTAGCCACTTACCAGTCCAGTTATTTAAATACAGGATGATCAAAATTGCGTATTTTATTACTTTTTATAAGAATATAACAGGAAATATTAAAATGATAGTTTTATCAAACTTACTCAATACCAGAAGTGGCTGGTTGAAATGGCATCTGCCCAAACAGTGCTCAGGTTAGTCAGTATGTAACAAATGCGCTGCCCAAGTGACACTCGGGTAAACTGTTAGGTGGTTAAGACCCACACTGTATAGAGTCTTAGACTGCTAGAGTTACTAAGGAACAGTTGAAGGATTTGGGGCTAAAGGATGATGGGTTCAGAAGGGTGTTTGAAGTAGATTCAATAGTGGCACTAGGTTAACTAGATTGGATTTGTACTTAAATCTTCAGTCTCATGGGATTAATACCTTTGCAAGTACTTAAAGGAGTATCTTTTTTGTTGTTGTTTTTTGTTTGTTTGAGACAGGGTCTTACTACTTAAATCAGGCCGACCTCAAACTTGCTGTGTAGCCCAGGTGGCCTCAAATTTAAAATTCTCCTATCTTAGCCTCCCAAGTGCTGCGATTACAGCCATTCACTACCATGCCTTGAACACTAGCCGTATAAAGCACTGGTCTAATTAAGTTCGGGTTCTTCATCCCAGCAAACTTCCAAGTTGTGTTTTTAGCATACAGTTTACACATAGTTATCTGTGATCTAAATGTTAAAAGTGATGCAGATATTCACAAGTCAAACAGCTTCTCATTCGAAGCATTATGGATAATGAATACTCAGCCTTTATTCCAGGAACAAGTTGTATCAGATTATCCATATTCCTTTCACTTGATACTGTTTATCTGCAAACAGATTAAGAAATAGTCTTGAAACCAGAATTTCAATTTCAGCAAGATATTTTATAAACTGTAGTATAATTTTTAAAATATTGTAGAGAAGTATAGGCCAGTATATATTATAATTACTGTGGTTGATAAGAATAAGGAAAATGCCAGGCATGGTGGCACATGCCTGTAATCCCAGCACTCGGGAGGTTAAGGCAGAAGGATCACTGTAAACTAGCCTGGACTGCCCGGTGAGTTCAAGGCCAGCCTAGACTAATAGTGAGACCTTTTCTCAAAAAAAAAGGAATGAGGAAAATGTAGATTAATAATACTATTATAGATAGATGAGCTAGGTAAAAATATTATAGGCAGTCAGATAGGGCTAAGTCCTCGAGTGGGTCAAGACAAAGGTGACACACCACAGCTACACATCAGCTGAAAACCAGGCCTCAAGATGGAGACAAGATGACCAGACCCACATACTTCTTCAAAGAACTGGACTTAGTGAAGTATAGATAGGCATGGACCACTCTGGGAGGGACCAGAGACCTCTGGACCCACCACCTTCTAGGAGAACCCTTGTTCTTTCCATCCACACTTACTACGTGACTTGCTTCCCAATTGGACCACCATTACCTAAGTGACTATACTTGTGATCTTATTGGGTGTTCATGGCTGTGACCTACATTGTACCCATATAGGTTTCACCCTATAAAACTTCTCTGTTACATGGGGTCTTGGGGCTCCTACTTGAAACCCCTCCTGCCCCACAGGAATTTTCCTATCAATAAATATCTTCCTACTTTCAACCTCCATCATCCTAGGACTCATTCTTCCATTTCTAGAGAACAAGAACTCAGCATATCATATAGTTGAAAGGTTGGGAGATATATTTCATATTTCTTGTGACATTATCATATTGGCAAAAAGACTTAGAGATTTTCATTTTCCTATAAATTTCCTAGAAGCCAATACTGTGGTATAACAAGGAATTTTTAAATATTAGTTTCTGAGTGCTGTCGTATAGGATGGGCATTGACCCAGTGATGCCTATAGAGGAGACTAAAGAAGGAGAAACCTAAAAATATGCCTAAGAATAACCTGTTGAAAGAATTTGGGATGTTTGACCATACCAAAGAAGAAACTGAAAATACAGTCTTCACAATATTCCACAAAAAAGAAAGAACAAATTTGCAGTCTGGCCCAAGAAACTAGAGTCAAGAGGGATGCCAGGGGAAAAGGAAGGCATGAGAAATAGGAAGGGCTGGAGGACATTCAGGCATGAAATCTTCGTGCTGGGGACCCTGACATGAGGGATGTCTGAAAGGCATCCAGCTTGACCAGAAAATCTAGGGCTGATTTTGAAATGGCTGCCAAAAACTCCATTCAGAAATATGGTAAGTGAGAAGCCCAGCAGAGCTTTAGAAGCTAGAGGTGAAGAATTCTGGTTTTTGTCTAAATAAGTAGAATAAAAATTAACGTGTTTAGAACCTTTAGGGGCAGGATAGAGCTCATTTCTATGGACAAATAAGAATAGTGTTTTTATATTTTTAAGCTGCAAGTAGCATTGTGTAATGAGCTATTAAAGCAAGGCTAATATTAGCAGAAGACCTGGTCTTGTGACTTCAAAGCCATATCTCTTAGCAGGGGTCTTGTACGAAGTCCTGCCCAGACTCCCCTGAGAACACACCACCCCCAACACCAACAGCTCCACCATCTGGATCACAGCACCCAGGGAAGACCACGCCAGGGGCCCTCGCCCTCGGTAATGGGAGTACAGGGCCAGACAGCGCTAAA